GAGTAACACAATTAGAAAATGTATCATCTTTCACTTTCACAAATAATATTCTATTTTCTAGCTCTAAAATACACTGGCCAAGGTCTCTTAAAAACAAAAGTGGACTTGGAAAGTCACAAAATCATCTAAAGCACTAATAAAGATTAGTCAAAAATGATGAGCACACAATAAATGTCTCATGCAGCAAAGTTGTAGATCTCTCTTCTGTAAGAAAATCAAAAGCAGATATAGCAGATTAACAGCCTCACATATAAAAGCTCTGAAGTAATGGACATAATCTAATCACAGGATACATAAACCTTCATTTGTCATAGCAGCTTATGGAAAGGGCATGTGAATCTGTCATGCCCAGTTAGATTTTCTGGATGATATGACTGGATCTTACAAAAGATGCTGTTGAATTAGAAGATGGCCCCACAACAGCTTGCTTTACATACCAAAAGAATTAACAGGGTTAGGCAAATGCAGAGGGCTCCATTTCCTGTCTGCATACTCCTGCAACCCCACTGATTAAGACAGAACCCAAAATGTGGCAATTCGAAGTGTGGGCATTGCCACAACAAAATTTATCAACTTTTGGCTCCCATTACACAATTTTATGAGAAAGTCTAAACTTAGAAATGGCCACATGGGCTCACGTGAATGCAATGAGAAAGCCACTGGTATTCCAACTACCTTTATGATTCACCTGCACAAATACGTAGACTGCTCCTTGAAGTTTATGGCTTCTTAAAGGACAATCTTCTGTTGCCTTTACTCGCCTCTCTGAAACATCTAACCTAGGAGTACCTTAGAGATTGAGCTTCATCATGTTATAAACACTGGTCAGAACAATTCAAGCCAAGAGTTCAGCCCACATATGAGGAAGCCCTCAGCAAAAGCTGTCTGGTGGGGCCCTTCTTTATTAGAGGTTTTGCCTGGCAGTGGTTGCAAGAGCAGTGGGAGGTTTTTCAGAATGTCCTGCGGTGACACTAGGCCCAAACAGCCCAATTGTTTGGCTAGGACAAGTGTCAGTGACACCGGAGCCACTGACAGCAGCTCAAGGGTACAGGGTGGCACAAGCCAGGCTCAAAACAAACCATTGTTGTCGTTAAAAATGCACATGTGCACAACTGCACCTATAGGCCCATCAAGGCTGTAATATCTGAACAGCCTTCCCCACCCAGGTGACTTCCAGATACATTGAAATCCAACTCTCAGCATGGCCACTGTATGATTGGATTTGTAGTGCAATACTTCTGGAGGGCACCAAGGCCATTCTGTAACTTTTAGGCCAATCATGATGAAATGTGAAATGTTAGAACACTATTACAGTCCTTGTGCCATTGATCTGATAGTTCCTCAGATCATTAACTGTATCTGCCATTTCTCCTTTCAAAAGAACTTTAAAAAATCACGCTGAATAATTTCTGGCTAGGCTTTTTCAGGGCAGGCAACCAGTCATTCTGGGGCTCCAATTGGCTTCATTTTGGAAGGCTTCTGCAAGAAACCCATTCAGGTCTTTGTCAAGAGTGATCACCCTCCCCTGGCAGCATGCTGGGCTGGAAGAAAGGGAAGTGGGGGCACGTGCCAGCTAGAGCGGGGCATCCCAGGACTTTTGGTTCTAGCCCTGCCCATCAGTGGCTTCAGCCCTGCCCACAGCAGGCATGTGGCCCTCAGCAGATTGCCCTGGAGGAAGTATCGTCCTTGAGAGAAAAACCTCCCCATCCACTTAAAATAAAAGCCGGTCAAAATAATAAAACCAAGCACCAATTCCTTCCTGGAGCAATGTCTATTCAGAACATCTCCATTATTTACTTAAATAATGATATAGATGATTTATTGGGTTTATTAAAGGCTTGGAGAAAAATAACCCTTTTATGACAGCAAGGAAGCAGAAGCCAAGAATTCCTGGGTTGTAAGTCTGTAAAACTGCATAGATTGTTAAAACGTTTTCAAAGCATTAACCTCTGCTTCCCAGTTTATAAAATAGCGGGCAAGATTTTGCTTCTCTCTTTTCAAAGACCTCAGAAAATCTGGGAAGAATGGTGAGGTGAGCAGAATGCAGTCTTGGGAGTAGCATCAGGGATGGGCACGGGCCACTTATCCTCCCTACCCAGCCCCACCTTCACCTCACAAACAACTTGGCCTTGGGTCTTGAATGGAACAGATCCAGCTTTGGGTTTTAAGAGAAGAGGCAGACACTCCTGCAAAAGGGAAAACAAACACTCACAGAAGGCCAGATTCCAGCGACTCAGACTTCTCTCTATTCAAGTGGCATATTCTGGGTTTATTTTATATTTCATTTTTCAAGATTCCAATTGTACTTTCATGACATTAGCTACACTATGAATATAGGTTTTACATACCTGTGAAAAAGGTATGGGTATTTTAAATTATTACTAATTTCATTTCTATACTGCCAATAGCCGAAGTTTTCTGGGCACCTTACAACAAATGTAACTGTTACTGGCATTTCCAAAACACATTCTACTCTTTTTTTGAGTCAAATGCAGTTGCCCAGATGTTTTTGACATCTCCCATCCCCTGCCAGAAGTTTTTGACATAGAATTAAAGAGGGACAAAAGCACATCTCTGCCATATAGCCACCTTACATGCAGGAGGAAGGAGACCTACAAATGTTGAGAAAAAGTTCAGATAAATAGATTCAGAACAGTCATTTAAAGGTCACCTTCTATGGAACATATGAAGGAAAACATCCCAATCCCAAACATTCAGCAGGTTCCAAGGATTTCAGTGGGATTTACTGCTAACTTACTATGCTTAGATAAATGACTAACATTTCTAAAGTCTTTAACATTTGAATGCTTGCATTATTCTCAAAATACAAATGTTAGAATATCAGCAAACATTTTTCTTAACCACTGATTCAATCCTATACCTGGCTCCCCAGAAGTAAATCCTACTAAATTCAATGGGGCTTAACCTCAAGATGTTCTGTAGCCTATGTCTGTGTTCTTGGAACTAAGCAAGCCTGAGTAACCTTTAAAAACAGAATTTGTACAATAGCTTAGTTGGAATGAACTGACCCAAAGATTATATCTAATGAAGAGATCTTTGCTTCCACTCCTACCCAGCCCCCACCAAAAAAAGCTGAAGCTGTTAATGATTCACATCTCTTTGCAAATGAAAAGGACTGCTATCTCTACATCTCCCACAAAGACAGTCAAATACCACCATTACCAGGTATGTTTCCTTTAAACATCTCCGGGGAAATTACCAGAGGAAGAAGGGATCTGACACCTCTTTGTAAAAAATACCCCACATCTCCATTGGATAATTGTTATCAGTGCCTCTTTATACAAAGAAGTGCTGACTTGGGGAGTTCCATCTGTAATTTGTTGTATATATTAAAACACATATGGAACATTTTTATAAGGAAATTAAGAATTTGGCCAAACAGTTTTACATTACAACAGCATTTTTCCTGCTGTTTTGGTGGGGAAGCCATCTTGACCTAAATAGGCCACTGTGAAGCACTGGATAAAAATAAATCCATCATACACATTCCCTTAAAGGTTACAGCTAATTAACGTTCTTGCTCCCATCACTGATACAAGTAAAATCATCATCATCAATAAAAAGTGTTAGGCACTGCAGTGAAACAAAGGATAATAGTATAATCAAAAGAATCATGAAATCATGCCAAACCAAGTACAATAAAGCTTTCAACACCAAGTCTTCTAAATGGGGACAATTTGGAACAAGACGCTGAATCTATTACTATGCTACAAATCTAACACCCTAGAACCTAATGGCACACACTGGAGAAGAGCTGTGCCCATAGCAAATGTGATGAGCCTTGACTTGCAAGAGCACCACATTTGAGAAAATACGTTGTCGTGTAAGAAGCTGATGTTTAAAACAAAATCACCACCAGTACAAGCAGTTGAGAAAATTCAACACACTTCAAGAGAAAGAAAAATAGTGGGCAAAACACAGACTGGGTCCTGGACATGAGAGAGCCATTTTTCTCTCTCCTTTTTGTGCATGCGTGGGATACTGAGAAAAGCAGAAAAGCAGCTCCACACAGCATGTTCATGCCTCCTGTTCCCCATAATGGCCCGGCATAGTGCAAATGTCATGCATAGGGTTGAAGAATGGGGGCTCTTATGGCGTATGGAATCCCTCTCTGCATGGACACTGTGCCCACAGTGGACTGGACTAAGTCCAAGCCTCTGGAAGTAGAACTGTGGCACCATTCCTAAGCAGATACTAACAATGTGTTTTGGAATCAGAAGCATGTGCCAAAACACACATACACGGGGAAGGGGAGGTCTCCATATATGGGACTGAGCAAGGCACAACAAAAGCAAGTTGCAAACAGCCAACAAGGCCTTCCTCCATCTCATCCCCCTCCCAGAAGCCCACAGTCAGCATTCCATGGATGCTGCGCATGTGCCGTTCTAACGCTTCCTGTTCTTAGACATTCATTTTTCAAAAACTGCTTTTCAAAAGCTTGGGGAGCCCCCAAGCCTGCTGCTACTTCTTTCTTGTGTGTTGATGCTGCCATTTCCATTATCTAAACAAATGACATTCCCAGTCCGAACATCAGAATAGAATTATGTGACTTGCTTGAAAGTCCCAGGGAAAGCAAGAACAGAAATAGCAGGTTTGAAGCAGACAGCTGCTCCAGTATCTTCTTCCCTTTCCATGGAGAGTGGAGGCATGGCACCTTGCCACCAGTACTGCATTAGCAGGGCTTGGGGTTTGATTTTCTCTCCATATATGACTGACACAGAAAACATACCTGGGGTTGGTCAGAAAGGTGCATGTGCCTTCTTTGGCAACATTTCTGAAGGAAGGACCAGGCTGCTCAAATGGCAGAATCCACAAAATGGACCAATAGGTCATGTGGCCAAAGAGTTTAGAACAATGCAGCGTAGAAATCTACAGTGGGGTAACTTCTAAGACAGGGGATGAAATACTGAAAGAATATGCTGCTTTTTAACACATAGGAAACATAAGATCTCTCTGTACAGAAAAAAAGAAAACCCTACTAATATAAGTGACATTTATTAACTTTCTGCTATATTTACAGTTTTAACATATGAAAACTCTGAATTACGGCTTTGCAGAGATCACAAGTGTGCACATAAGTCTATATTTAAATGTACTGGAAATTAGAAAAACAAGAAGTACAGCTATGTTAAGAACCATCTCAAGAGTCCTAAAGTCAACAAAAATGGTGATCAGCTTTCTGATATTATACACTCCATTATCCAATTATTTGAATTTCATACCAATATACACTGCAAAGTCCATTCTCCAAAAGTGTGCATTACAACAGTAAGAAGTACAGAATACATATTACGAAAAATTAATACTTGTACCACCTTTTTAGTAGTATTTTTCATTACTATACCTTAAAACATCCACATTGTACATGTAGGTTTTACTTCCAGGTTGTTTCCATTTTATTTGAACAGCAATTACAGACTATGTCCAGCAATACAGTCAAACAAGATTCGGAAGTTCCAAGAACACCCCTCACAATGGCCAGCATCATTACAGATCTTACACTAAGAAGACATTGGTATTCTAACTTTAGGATGGAAAACAAAAAGCAAGACTGACCCCTTCTGGCTACAGGGCAATAGATCATGCTATTCAAAGGACTACAAAGACTATATAAGGCATTATTAGTAACATCACAGACTTGATTGCAAGAGCCGTTTCAAACATTAGCCACTAATGATTCAATGATTACAGGAGCTCTGCATTAAACTATTAAAATTTTACATCTAGAAACAAATAAAAAGAAATGCTTTTTTTCCAACAGTACTTTATTTATTTTAAAGCAGGTGATTACGTCTTATTTTTCTTCTGTGTTTGAGTTGTGATTCACTTCTCCATTTACTGCTTGAGGGAGGCTTTATTAATGCAGGGAAGTGTTGCCAGAAAACACCAGTCTGAAAAGAGTAAAAATGTAATTACTATTTAAGCTAAGAAAAGATCACTGACAAAAAAGTTCAGATTACTAGAAAATATGCGTAACTCATCAGAGATCGCACAACTATATTTTGCATCAGCTGTTTTTCCTACACGTCACTCCTGTTGTCACCTTTTAGCCTTAGCTCATTCCTCATTCCTCACACAAAAAATCATAATGCCAAGCCATCTTTTTTCTTTCTTTCTTTTTTCATAAGGAACAGAAGTATGGGCAAAATGAATAGCAACATGATTTCTGTTTTTCCCCAAAATCAATCAAACAAGAAAAAGGATGGGAAGAACTTCCTGATTAATAGGGCAAATTTTGACTGACTAGAGTTTAAATCAGTTGAAACACCCAGCACCTGGAACACACTAAAAGCACTTTGCTTCTCTTGGCAGCCTCATATGCAAGAGTCTTATGCCACTGTTTTCCTGACGGAGGGCTTGCAGCCCTAAGAGCAGCATGACATCCACAAACAAAAGGCAGCATAATGTAAACTGCCTTGTGCTAGCACAGGATGGGCAGTGCAGGACCTGCGGGCTCACACAGCTGCCCTCTCCCCCACCCCATCAGCATGCTTCCCCCTATCTCTATACAAGTCACCGGAGCAATACTGGAGCTACGTTCACTTGAACCAAGGTAGGGGAAAAGGTGCCCTTCCAAAATCGAACAAGAAACCAGCTGTAAGGGAGGAAGTGTCCCCCTCAAGACTCTGAGGGTGACAGGTTCCTTGGCATTGGGTGGACTTTCACGGGAATGATCAGAGGGACATACAAATCCCCCTGCCAAAGAACAGCAATAGGACAGGGCAAGAAAACTCTGGAGATTGTACCCCCTGCCCAGCATAGAAATTTGTGGTGATGAGCAGAGCAGGTTTTTAAATGTCTGATTGGCCAGAGACCCAAAATCAAAATAGCATAAGCAACCTCTAGTGAAAAGTTGTCCCACCAGCCAAGTCTACTGGCATCACGCTCACACTAGTACAATGTAATGAACGCTGGCTGGCATTAGTGGTTGAAAAAAACCAGCTGCCTTTAGAAACATGCTGGTCCAGTGTCTTGGTCACAGCTGGCTTTAGTACCAGTGCATTCATGTGTTACAGACCAACATTATGTATAAGAGGACAGAAAAAAAGCATTCGATTAGGATTAACCTGATTTGGTCACTTCACAGACTAGGTCGAAGATGTGATGTTATCTCTAGGCCTAAATGCAATGTTATGCAACCAGACTTCTGCTTGTGCAGTGGGCCCTCACTTTGCTTCTCCCCCCCTTACATCCCCTTTGTGCCACCCAATCAGCTCTGAAAGGTTCCCCAACACTCTAGAGAAGCTTTGTGGGGTACACACGGGAAAGACTGCTCCATCATAATGCTTGATCTAGTGGGAGAGTGGTGCGGAATGGATACTGCCAACAGAGATAAGACAAACAAGCCAGGTTTGGAGTTTATTTTTTAACACTACAGAGAACCAAGAAAAAAAAGTGTGGAGGCATTTCAATACTCAAAATATGGTCTGGACAGGTGTCTTTCAGGTGGCACAAAAGGTCAGCTTAATTGGTCAGTGAGCACAAGTGTGCCCGCACACTCACCAGCACAGTACTAAAGGAATGAGGATGCAGGAATGGAAGACGCAACATCCTGTCTCCATCGCTGGGACTAATCTAGGTATGGCCAATAACTGCGAATTGTCAGTTTTTTTAATTAAAAAATATTGGCCATATTAACTTGCTTTCTAAAGCCCCAGATCATTTTGAGAGGCATGGACATCTCTTTTCAGAAGGCTAGCTGATTCAGAATTCCACAATTAATTATATAAAATTGATTTTATGATACTAGACAAGAAAAAAAGTTGAAAAATGAAAAAAGCGGTAGTTTATGCATGAACCAACACACAACTTCAGCTGAGGGACCAATCATTTTACATGGCATCATTGGTCCTGTTGCTCTTCAGGCCCATGCGCAGATACCTTTTTCCTAGTCCTGAACATGGACATATGGTATATTGTGTCAGCATTACAACTGTCTGGAAAGAACAAGGCCTTGGAAGACTTTGACCCTTCTAGCCAGGACTGTTCATTCCTGATAGCAAGGATGATTGAAAAACCAGTGCTGAACTCTGAAAATGCAAATATCAGCTACACACCAAATTATCCCCCCCTCCAATCTCACATTTACATATATGCACACACAGAGAGCTAAGAACATAAAGGAATAAAATCTTTTCCCTTGTCTTTCCCTCTAATGCACATTCCACTTTTCTAATACCCATCCACATTTTCTAGATTTGACTCAGAACTATAAAGGCCTAAACTGTAATATTTCTCCCCAGATGAGAGCCTCTTGTCTTTATGTAAAGTGCTCCACAAGCAGCAATCATAATCTAATTTTACCTGAAGCGGAGAGAAAGAACAAGGAGGTGGGTTATTTTACTGTGCCTGTGTTGGAAACCATACTATCATTTCAACCCCTGACAAGCTTCTACTATACTACTCTGCAAGAAACAAAACAAAAAGCAAAAAAAAAAAAAAAAAAAAGGTAGGCTTTTTTCAAGGCAGACACAACCAGTAATCATGGTTAAGACATCAGCAGTGGACTATGGAAACATGGCCTTTCCTTTCCTCCCACTGAAAATCCCTGTTTTCTCAAGCACCTTAATGTAATCCGGCAGGCACTGTCATGAACTTGCACTGACTAACTACGGGAGTTAATTTGAGGAAATGACAGCGCAATGGTTAACATCAACAAACCAGGGGGCGTTGGTGCATGGCAAGGGACACACTGGCTATAAGGAGTGTGTAATCCTGTGGCTGGCTCTCAGTCCCATTAACTCTGGCCACATATGGCCTCACACATGGAAATAAGATCAAGGGCACAATGCTACACAGGCTTACTTTGAAGTAAGTTCCACTGAACTCAGAGAGGGTTATTACTGTGCAAAAATGCCCCAGATCAAACTGCACCACTAATAGCAAGTAGCCTCCTTAGTTCTGGAATCTTGGTCACAAGGAATCAAGCGGCTTCTACTTGAAAAAGCTAAACTTGGGAAAAGAATAAAATACTGGTCCCAGCAAGTGGCCAGCTCATCAACGGCCGAGCACTGAAAGAAACCTAGTAGCAAGAAAGTATATAATTCAGTGTGAATTTCAGATCCAGGAGGACTGCAGAGGACACCACAAACCCTGCTAAGGAAGCAAAGAAACCCTAACCACAGAGCATTTCTTTTTTATATAGCTTTTCCAGGTCAAATGTGGTGGGTGCCAACTACAGTTCTTACACAGCTCATGTCACGATGCTGCTTTTTTTCCTTTTAAGCATTCCACCATTGCTAAGGAAATCTGCATTCTGTGTGTGGCCTAGAAATGTATCTCATTAACTACTGGAAGGAAAGGCAAACCATTTACTGCTTGTGTGGTTGCTGGCCTGTTAAAAAGAAAAGTGGAAAAGGAACACTAAGGCTCACTTTTAAAAGGATGTATGTTTAATAACATCCAACTTAAACTTTCATTTTTCCACTACTGTCCCGGACAGACTTTCTCCAGGTTTCTTTGGGATAATGGTTTGTGGAATGCTTCTAAGACTGTGCCTTGCAAATATTTTGAACTACAGACTTCCTTCTGGACCCCTACATTGTAGCAGCAAACATCTGCTTGGCAGATGAGCACAAAGAAATTCTCATGTAACATTTGTGCAGATGTACCCTCTTGCTGCATTTCCACAGCAAGCGGGGAGCATTCCTGTCAGAAAACATTTTAGGAAATTGCCACTGAAAGCAAGGTTTTTAACAAACGAAGCTGCGCAAAACAGGAATTAAACTAGGTTCACTATAGTATTACCTTTAGTAAATAAAGAGAACTCTAGTCCTGGGAAGAGTAGAAAATGTATCTGGCATCTTCCGAACCTTTGCATAATTGATAAATCCTCTGAGAAACAGGAGGAAGCCTAGAAAAAAGAATACAATTATTTTTCATGTATAGTGATTGGGTTGACATTCATTAACAACACATGTTCAAAGGTGAATGTCAGTTGTCAAGGAACTGTGGGTTGATGTACGGTGTGAACCCAGCCATGCTAACAAACCATGGCTTATTAACCAACATCAATACATGAAGAGAAGCCACTGTTTGTTGTTTGGTAGTTCTGGGCTGTTCATGGTCAACCAACCATGGCTTGTTAGATTGGCTGGGTTCATACAACACAACAATCCACAGTTCAATGACAACCCATGCTGACTCAAGTCATACTTACAGGTGAGTGTGGGCTATCATGCTGTGTGAACTCAGCCATATTCTTTTTCTGTGAGAGATGAGGCCCATTTCACTCAAGTCCCTCACTATCAGCTTAAATTTGTTAGTGCTTTCTTTCCTGTGTTTCCTTTTTGTGATGGTTTAACCATAAGGTCAAGCTACTGGCAACCTAAACCAGTGTTTGCTAATTCAGACAAAATGACAAATGAAGGTTTCCCTCAAACCAAGATCAGCGGCACAGAGCTGTCACATGGGAGATGCGCACAAGTCCAAGGTTTCCAACGAATGAATACAACACTTGGGAAGTTTGGGGTCTATACTAATTTGCTCATTGTTCATCTTCCCTCATTGAATCTCATTTGTTATGTTGTTGCCCTTTCATGTAGCTTTGAGAGATTCTTCTGGTAATACAATGACAAAATCTACTACAGATGCTTAGGGAACCACTACTACTAATAATAATCATAGGACAGATGGTTAGGGGATCATGCTGTTAACTTCCCTCCACCAAGAAAATTATCAAATTATTGCTACTCTCTGCCTCCTCTTCTTGACTCTCTTACTGAATCATAATATCACCTTATCCGGCCTGAGGATGAGGAAAAGCAGCCAACCACTTGTTTGTTGGTTTAACCTTAAACCTTGGGGTAACCCTTCCTGGTTAGGAAAACCTGCCAGAAGACCACTGGCCGGTTAAGCAGCAGAGGCTGCAAATGCTGTGCCCCTGTTCCTTTAGAAGAAGCTGTGGTGAGACCCCTGTGTTCAGAAAAGCCTAATAGCCTGTCAGTCTCTTAATTCCCTTTTCAGCAAAGTCTAAGAACAAGTGGTAGCCACATAGCTCCAGGCTTCCTTAGATGAAGCTGATTTTTTAAAATCCTTTCCAAGTGTGGTTTAGGCCTAGTTTTGAGATGGAAAAAGCCTTGTTAGGTGACCCATGCTAGGAACCAGACAATGAGAGTGTGTCCCTGTTCATTTTGCTGGTGCTCCAAGTAGTGTTTGATACTATCAACCATGATCTCTTTCTGATATATTTGGCCAATGCAGGAGTTGGGGGAATTCAACAGCCAGTAATTCTGTCTGAGCAAGTGGTACTAGTTGAATACTGCTCAGTCCTCAGGCAAAGGGTCCTCGGGGCCCTATTTTGTTGCCAGGGCCTTTTAGCATCTATGGGAAAGGTTACTAAATCTTTTCTTCACTATTCTGAATTAACATTACTGAAATTACTACATGAAACAACTCCATTAGGTGAAATTGCACAGGGGACATTGCACTAGTCTTTATAATACCAACTTTAATTCTGTTTTCTACTAATTTACCTTGAACAAAAATTAGACTGATGGTTTTATACTTTTCTGATTAATCGTTAGAATCCCTTTTCTAAAAATTGGTATTGCACTTGCTACCTTGCCATTCTCTGGGAAGGCAGTTGATTTCACTTTTGATGTAAGAGCTTGTTATGTTATCCCTGCAATCTGGTTCAGACTTAGCAACAAATTATGCTTATAAACATGAGCCTTGGGCTTCTATAATTCCCCACTCCTCACATAATTCCTCATACACAAGGAGAGGATATTTAATATTTCCATTCCTGGTTCAGAAGAAAATGGCATATGGTAGTTTGTTCAAACCACACATAACTAAAAAGCCATGAATTACTCTATTTTGGATGCAACAAGCTGCAATTCCTTGATTGCCAAGAATGGAAACTTTAAATCTCCTCCCCTTGCAGGCAAATAAGACAGTCTGAATGCCACACTTAAATCAACATACACATTATTCTTACATCTAATCTTGACCAGTTAATGTGTAATTTGTTAATTAGCTCCAGAATAATAATTAAACAACTTCTTGTTCTTCAGTTCCCTTCACACCTTTTTGTCCAAAGGTCAAACCACCTACCTGGTTAGCTTCCTGTTCCTGATTTATGTGAATAAATATCTGCATGTATGTTTCTTGCCCTTAGCAATTAGCTTCTTCTATTAATGCCTCTGTGCCCTACAAGTGGCATTCATGGAAGAGAAGATGGGAGCAGCTAGAGGGCCTCATTTTGCTTTAGGTGATTTCAGTGGCTGGTAAGACGTTCTGTTATTTCAAAATAAATAAATACAAAGGAAGAGGGGCAAGGCACTTTGGCAGAGCCAAGAAAGCTGTCTGAAGGTGCTCCAATTTCCAGGGACATCTTGTTGCCTACTTCTGTGATCAAGTCAGTGGGAGACCGTGAACAGAAATCACATCACACTGACTTGCAGCTGGGCAATACAGTGGTCAAATAACATTGGGAAACCTTTTTTCACATGCAAACAATGAAACCTCCACTAGGTGGCAGAGTTCCTTTGTACTGCACAAAATGTTTGAAAAATCTGCTCAAGCTAGAAACATAGAAACAGAGTGAGTCAGAAGGATCCTCCCAAGCCATCTAGCCTGACCCCCAGCTCCAGCCAGCTCTGCTCATGACATGCTTACCATGTGCATGTGCAACCTCTCTCAAAATGTGAGCCTAGGAATTAAACTAAAAGATTGGTGGAAACTTTTGTTTCTAAAACAACAGTGAAAACACATTACATTCACCATTGAAAGCCAAACAGCAGCATTGGTTTCTCCCTTTAGGAAGAATAACGAGTTAGCAGCAACTTTATATATGATAACGGTAAAGGTTTCCCCTTGACGTTACTTCCAGTCATGCCTGACTCTAGGGGGCAGTGCTCATCTCCGTTTCCTAGCCGAGGGAGCCAGCGTTTGTCCAGACAGTCTCCGTGGCCATGTGGCCGGCATGACTAAACACCAAAGTGCACAGAATGCTGTTACCTGCCCACCGAAGTGGTACCTTTTTACCTACTTGCATTTGCACGCTTTCAAACTGCAAGGTTGGCAGGAGCTGGGACGGAGCAACGGGAACTCACCCCGTTGTGCAAATTCGAACCGGCAACCTTTCGATCAACCAGTCCAGCAGCACAGCGGTTTAAACCACTGTGCCACCTGCAGTCCCCTTATATATGATACCAAGGTGAAATTTTGAAATTCAGTTTTGACACACTTACCTAATACAAGGAACACCCACCACAACCAGTACTGACCATCAAAGTATCCAGGGAAATAGGTGGAGAACTAAAACAAAACAAAGGGGGCATACAGATGGAGTACAGTCAATGGGCATGTTGTTGCAGAATTTTTCAGTGGCATTTTATTACTAGCTGACTGCTAGAATTAGTGCTGGATATACACCCCCCACCAAAAAAAAGTATTAATGGTAATCTAGGGTTAAAATTACTACTTGCAGTTAATTACAAAAAAAACAAAAACAAAAACTAGTCAGATATGAAGGGAAAAGGCTGAAGCACTGCCACACGAAGCCTTACTTCTCCCTTTCCCTGGGACGCCCATGAACGCTGCCTCTGAAGTTGTGTGGTTCTTTCCACACTGGCTGTGAGGGTGGTATAAGAGTGCTCCAATCTTACAGCCTGTTTCTGTGGTTGGAGCTGGACCTGTGACTTCCCCTGTGGCCAGCTAGACCCTATGTGGCCCGGCATGGGATTGTGCCCCAAGCTAACATAGGAGCAAATCACTCCTTCTTGAAAAGGCAAGTGAGCACACCCACTGAATGCTAAGGAATTCTGCATGTATGCAACATTTCTTCCTCAAGTACAAACTCTCTGTGCGACAAAATATGGTGAAAGATACTGTTGCCTCTATGTTGACCTGCATCTTCTTATAGTTCTCAGCAATGCTGCTCTGATCTGACTGTGAAAATATGTAAATGTCCTTCTTGCAACCACTCTTCTATCCAATTGTACATGGGTTTTCCATAAGACACTTTGTATCTGCTTCCATAAACAACCCAGGAATTATCCGTTATCCATTCCTGGGTTGTTTAATGCAACACAAAACACTCTAGGTTGTTCCTGAATTGTCTGAAAAACCACTAAAACACACAAAATTCTGTAACTGAGAACCAATCTCAATTCTGAATTTCTTGGTTCATGGAGTTAATTCAAACATTAAAAATACATACTGTACATCCCCCAACAACCAATCTGTTGTGATCTCCCCAGCTGCACACAAAATGCACTAACATCTTTTAAACTGTCAGAACCCTTTTCTGGAAATCTAAGTTTTTCAAACTGTTAATCTTTTCAGTCATTCAATTAATTTATTCCCAAATCTATGTTGCGCTCAGGATGACATTTCTTTTGTAAATAAAAGGTGCAGTTAATGTAGAATTCTGAACATTAATCAAGAAGCAGGTGCATTTTACAATTTGCTTCATTAAAACATTCTGTGTTTTGAGAAGGTGAACAAGACAGACTTTAAAAAGCAGTGGTACCAGCAGCAGCAACTCATCAGCTACAAGTTGTCCTTACTAGAATCTAATCCACCTTATGGCACAGGCTGTATCTGAACATCACTCTTGTTTCTAAAGTACCACAGGTAGGTAGGTAATGGATGATGGAATGTCAGTATTCTATAACATCTAGTCTCCCTTTGCAACTTCAGATACTCACACACATTTGCAATATCAATACCTGTAACAGATTATCTAAGCCATCTGCCCCAACTATCTGTAGGAATACCTTAGATAAAACAAGGGTCTTTTTAGTCTCCTGCTTCCTTAACCCCTTATCATTAAACAACAGTCTTTTACAGATCTACACCAATTCAGTGGACTGACTTTATGATGGCCCTCCTAGAAGTGCCATTACCCAGACGTACTTCCTGAATTGCTTTCCCTAAATGCTAATGAAATAGTGGCATGTTTCATGCAGTTATTCTATAATTCTACAGTAGCTTCAGATAGGCCTGCCGTGGGGCAAGGACATGCTATTATGTCCTTATAACATGGATAACATCACTGCAGTTGGGAAAATATGTATTTCTTTGAAAAATGTATTTGCTATTAAGAAAGAGTGAAAAAACTCAACTATGAGGTGAATATCTTTACTCTGCAACTCTTCTAATATATGCCTAAGTGATGTACAATGCAAAGATAAAATATTATCTAGTTAGAAAAGCAAGGGAGTCTGAGAGAAGTCAAATGCTCTGACATCCATCCATTGGCACCCACTGATAAAATGGAGGGATTCAGAAAACCTGCATGACATAGTAAAGAACAAATATGGCATCTAACTCAGCAGCATGACCAGAATTTGCTTTCATATCCCTTTGCATTCTGTCTCTCACATTTGCAAACATGTCACCCTTTGCTGTTCCATCAATATTCATGAGGTCTAAGAGGGTATTTCCAGAGGGTGGAAGACTGTATTCTGTCCAACTATCGATCACACTTCCGAGCCTCCAATCCATCTCCCTATGATGATCCTTTTTGAATTTTTGGAGTCCCAGAAAACTGCTGCTAAAAATAATGTTTTCAAGTATGCTAATTAGTATAAAAAGTACACTGAGTTATTCTATATAATTTCTATTTCTGAATTCACATTTGCTGTTTGCAAAGACAGAGTTTAGAGTAAAACTTCGTAACCCCTACCTAGTGTTAGTGACTCAGTCAGGCTGCAGTTCCTTAATATAATTCCTACAGACCTATTCAGAATGCATGGCCAAATTGTATCTCCAGAACTTTCACAAAGAGTTAAGTCACATTATTTATTACACTGTCTGTCAAACACAGTGGCCTCTCCTATTTGTGAAGCTTACCTTTTTCTACTTTGTAACTTACCCTTACAATCAGAATCCACTTGATGAGAGAGAGACCAAATCCAGAAATGGCCCCGTATCTTCCTGCTGCTGAGGTGGTCAGGCAGAAAGAGAGGAAGAATCCAATCCAGTTGAAAAGGAATGCCACTGACAAAGCAGAGAGAAAATGATGTCTACTGGTTCCTCTTATTCCATGAGCAACCAGATAACTACTTCCAACCAACTATAACTCAGTATACTATAGTACTACTAGTGTACATTAGTTCTACTGTAGTATGTTACTACATAGTAGTAGCATATTATACTGTAACAGTTGTACTTTTTGTACTATTACTACTGTAATATAACTTGAAAAGTTACTTTACAAATGCAATAAACATAAGCATATTGCTTACTGCTACACGACACTGAGATTAATAGGATAGTTACAAAAGCACTTTTCTGAAAAGTGAAAATAGGTTTGGGAAATGTAACAATAGACCCAAACTACTGGCATCACCTATGCAGCCCCAAGTATAGACTTCTCTTCAGGGAGGGCCTATCAGTGGTTGCTCATTGCAATGGCTAGAAGCAACCCTCCTGCTTCAGACTCCATCTCTCTCTCATGACCACTTTGAGGAAGCAGCAACTGAACAGAGCTTTTGCTCTCATGTTCTGTTTACACAGTTCTCAGAAACATCAGGTGGACCACTCCAGAAACAAGATGATAGACTAGATGGAGCTTCTGGTCTCATGTTAGGATCTTAAGTTCACTCTACCTTCCATTTTTCTGAACGCTCCATTCATAGTCCGCCAATTCCTCATGCAAACATAGTATCCAAAGGAATCCATCCCTGATCTCAGGATCCCACTGGTATATAAATCTGCTCTGTTATACCCTCTTCCTCCCAGAATGATATTCCTAATAACAAGTCACCCTGCTTTGCCCAGAAATAATTTGTCCATGGAATAGATTGGCTGTCTATATAGTAGCAAGGGCACATGAGAAGGCGCCTAATATAGAAATGGGCTAACTTAAACTGCAGAAGTAAAAAATTTGTTCCATCTTCCTAACAACTCTGACACCTAAGGTTCATCTTTTAAAATGCACTTACTGAAGAATGTCAACATGAAAATGCCATCATTTCCTATCCTTAGCTGGTCAGTATCATCAAAGTCATCCCGTGCCACGAAGTCTTCCTCCTAAGACAGAAATGGGTCAAGACAGCAAGAAAATTCTGGCTGAAACCAAATGAAACCATATTATCAGCATGTGTTTTACATTATTTTTCCCAAAAAAGAACACAAAAGCAGCAACCAGTGCAATGCCCTCTTCTTTTTCAGGAAAAAACCCCTTTTGTTGATGTGTTTTTATACATGAGGGAGAGACCATGACTAGAGACAACAGAACAATGGAGGGCCAGAAGTTATCTTCTACTTAAGATGGGGTGGAAGATGGGATCTGATAGCACTTCAAGGCACTATGCTTGCCAAAATATTATGAATGGAACCAATAAGCTGTATCAATATTATTTATTTATACACTGCCATCAGTGTGCATGACACCATTGAGAGTTACTTTATACTTCTAATATATATGCGCGAATGAGAGACTCCTCTAAGTACAGCAGTGATCAAGCTATGCCTTTAAGAAAAAATGATCTATTCAGGAGTCTTTAAAAATGCACAAAATCTTGCATCAACAACATGAGATTTTTCTCAAAGTGTTTTGCTTCATTTAGGTGACACAAAAGCATGCAGCATCAATGCACACTTACCCTTCCAGGAACCAAGGGAATGGTAGCTTCTGCCTTAGTTCTCTCTGCTTCATCATAAGTAGGCAATGTTGTGGCTACATTGTAAGAAGGAGGTTTGGGAAACCCAGCCTCATCTTTGTAGTCAAAATATACTGGGAATGGAGGAGAGATGCAAGTTAATTATACAAGTAACGAACACCTATGTAATAATAGCTATGACACTATTAGGGAAAATTTAATAAGTTGAACAAGACTGTGTAACAGGAACAGCATGATGCATTTCAAAAGGCAACCTCCATGGTGATCAGAGAAGAACTGGGGAATGAACTGGGAAAGAACCTGTTAAGCACATGCGTACTGGGGCAGCAGGGAAGGGTTCCAACCAAAATCTGCTCAACTATGGAAGCTCTGCATGAAACGCCACACAGGTGCAGAGCCCGTACATGTGACATATGAAAACCATAACAAAGAATAGTAGAAAATTCCTTAAAGCCACATTCCTATACACCCTTAACTGGAAGTAAGCCTCAGTGAAAACAAAGTGACTGTAAACAAGAATAGAACTGCACTGTAGATATGTGTGCAATATAATTTCAGAATGCAAATTAAGAAAGTCACAGCAATATGCAGCCAAGCAAGAGTGAAAACAGCTGGTGAAATCTGGTTATTCTACTGTGGACACTAACTGACCAAGCTTGTGGAATTTGAGGCTTTGATAGGTATGTTCGTAAACAGGTTGTTTCTAAGTTTGTATACTTAAGAATGTTCAGTGCACAGAAAAAGGAGAAATGCCTTTGGATTCAACAACATAGTGTGGAAGACACAATGAATTTAGTATAACATAAGCTTTAGTTCACCACCAGCTTCAAGAAATGTTGCCCTCAGCTGACAGATATATACATTATGTATGAGGGTAAAGTAAAAACGGAAGCACTGGGCTGTATTTATATTTAGCTGAACCATTTCTCCCCTAAGCTCTTATGGATTTTTCAATAAAAAAGAGGCAATCTGGCATATTATCCTTAAGTTGCCATTATCTATGGCAGTACTATACTTGCACCCAGGCAATATATTTGAAGTAAATACAGAACCTATATAAATGAAATTTGATTGTTCTTTAAGGCTAGACTGGAGAAGAGGAGAGCTGCACCTAACCCAATATTGTCAACACCGACTGGCAGCAGCTCTCTGGGGGTTTCAAGCAGTTTTTCAGCCCTTGCCAGATAGAGAATTAAGACAGGAACCTTCTTCATGGAAAGTACGAATTCTACAACAGGGTCAGGGCCTTTAGATGGAGCATTCTGTCTTCCTTCTAGCCTTAAAAAGAATATAGTTCATTAAGAGTAAGAGACAAATGAGACCCTTGCACGCACAGCAGTTGTGACTTTGTTCTGTCTTGACAAAAGACAGAACAAATTGGATGAATTTCAGTTATTGCGGCCTGATGATGTGGACAAGGTGCTTGGACGAGTACGTCCCACCACTTGCCTATTGGACCCTTGCCCGTCTTGGTTAATAAATAATTCCAAGCACGGGATTGGGACCTGGATTTTGGAAGTGATTAACGCTTCTCTGAGGGTGGGTCGGGTGCCTGCCCCTTTAAAGGAGACGGTAGTCTGACCGGTCCTGAAGAAGGCGTGACTGGATCCAGAGATGGCCACTAATTATAGACCAGTGGCCAACATCCCGTTTCTGGGCAAGGTGTTAGAGTGAGTGGTGGCGGGACAACTCCAAGCACTCTTGGATGAAACTGATTATCTAGACCCATTTCAGTCCAGCTTCAGACCCGGGTACGGTACTGAATCTGCCTTGGTCGCCCTGTACGATGACCTGTGCAGGGAGAAGGACAGGGGGAGTGCGTCCCTGTTGGTTCTCCTGGACCTCTCAGCGGCTTTTGATACCATCGACCATGGTATCCTTCTGGATAGGCTAGCGGGATTGGGGGTCGGAGGCACTGCTTTGCAGTGGTTCCGCTCCTATCTCAATGGCCGGTTCCAGAAGGTGGTGCTGCGGGACTATGGCTCTGCGCCATGGCAGTTATGCCATGGAGCACCGCAGGGGTCCATTCTGTCCCCGTTGCTGTTCAATATCTACATGAAACCGCTGGGAGAGGTCATCAGGAGGTGTGGGCTGCGGAACCATCAGTACGCTGATGATACCCAGCTCTACCTCTCGTTTTCCAC